GGGTGTTTTTAGCGGGCGAGTCGTATTCGGGTGAGTACGCACGTCTTAAATCGTTGAGTGAAGACTACCATGGATGATGACACGTGATTTTCGTAGTACAGGTAAGTTCATCCCGGAGGCAGTGATGAGGGTGAAGGCGGATGAGAAAGAGGGCGCTGGGCCCACTATTGACATCGTCGGAATCATCATCGGCAACGGTTCTTCAACTCTGACAGAGTGTAGGGAAGATAGCATGGAGTGCTTCAACTACGAACCCATGAGAACGGAACTTACTCTCTGCCTTCCAGGTGGCGATCGTATCCTCGGATGGCATATAGGAGCGGCACTGCTCCTAGGAGGGTCTCAGCTCCACAGTAAGCACTTACTCATACATGGTTGGTGGTCATAGTGGTGGCATTGGATCAGATATGATAGGATGGTGAAAGCGGCAGAGGACTGTGTAGCAGAGACGCCATCTTGCCTGTCGGGTAGTATTGTGGTCGCCGTGAGTCGTGTGGTATTGACTTCCTCAGGGCATATGAGCTGCCAGGCGTTGTACGATAGATGTTCCAAGAAGCTCATCAATCCTATCAGCGATGCCAAGTGGAGCATGTAAGGCTTCGATTGGGTGCAGACCTAAGGTAGGAGTTGCCTCTTGCAGATACGATCTCAGACATGAGTGCGGTCCGTCTCCTGATTGTTTGGATGATGGACCGGTGACTACTGCTTGAATCCCTGTTGGGGAAATGGTCGTCATCAGGTTCGAAAGTATTTCAACGATCCTGCTGTACAGGGGGCTGTGGGAGCGCATATGGAGTGGAGATCGTCGAATGAAAGTGTAACAGTCGCTGAGCCGGCAGTTTTTCGTGAGGAAGATTGCTTGCATTCAAGGTCACGGCCGCATTCCATATTCGAGAGCTCTTCACGTCATCTGCTGAGCAACAACTATCTTCACTCCTGGTTAAAGGGATCAGTGTAATAGCAGGAAGGCGTGTGTCGATTGTCTCGATAGATTCATGGATCTAGTTTTATACGGTGGAGGTACTCGGATCTGATAGGTACTCCTGTATGCTGGTGACCAGGATTTCCTATGCAATTGGCTCAGCGTTCAGGACACGGCTCAGGCGCTCGAGTGGCCAGGGAGGACGGCCTTCGCTAAGGCGGTTGAGAGCTCACTGAGGGTGAAGGTGTATTCATTCGGTACGTCAGCAACGACTCGTCCTCTGCCAGTTGCCGTCGTCGAGAATCGGTGCTCAAGTACGCATGGTCGGAAGATCCGGTGGTCTTGGTGGCCTTACTTTCGCAAGGGTATGGTATCGCCTTGTTGTTGAGCTCGGCTGTAGTGTTTGCCTTTAGGTCATCAACGCTAGCCATATGGTCCCCCAAGACGCCCCTGAGGCTGCGCTATCACTTGTAAACGACTTCATCTACCGTACCACGGCTTACCATAGTGATCCTCCTACAGCTGTTGGGCTCAAGATGCTTATTGTCTAGTGATAATCATGGGGTACTGTTCGTATTCACACATGCCATCTGTTGTAATCAGAATACGAGTTAGGAGATACCACTGCTGTTGCGCTTGGTAATTGGTCCTTAAATCATGGACTGTGTTCTAGATTCACGAAAAGGGTCTACTACTCCATGCATAGGTTGATCCCTAGTTATGTTCAGTATTCTGCTTGTACTTGATAGTTGTTGCTGTCATGTCTTTGCTGCGTCGATGGTGTCAACTCAGCCGACTAACTCAGCCGTCTTGCCGCCATCCCGTTGTGTCGACGGCGGTGCGGTACGTCCATCCTGTTCCAGAGAGGAGGGTGGAGTATATTAAGGAAGGGGAGGGGGACTCAGAGGAAGCAGCACCGACTCCTGGTGGCGAAAGGATCAACTATAAGGTGACCATCAGCCCAGCCTGGAGCAGTCCATGGTACTCGTCAGATCCTCAAGACCGTGAATGGGAGGTACCCAGTCTATAAACGCTTTATGAAGTCGGGCCGAGAGGTAGCGATAGGCCTCCCTTCTGGAGGGGTTGCGGCTGTACAGTGTATTGGTAGGTGAATACGATGGTGAGGCACGTGAGAGGTGATATCGCCCAATGCCGCCGACATCTATCGGAAATCTGTGAAGCACCGGTGAGTCCAGGCAGGAGCCTTATGTGGCAGTGTGCAGAGCTCAGGTCCGCCTCCATATCGGCTCGCTGGAGGTTCGAGGAATACACACATGGAAGATAGTTGAATTCCTTAGGAGTATCAATATGTGATCATCGTCATG